TATTTTGAAAGTAAAATAAATCAAACTACATTGTTATGTAATTAAAGGTAGATCGAATTTAACAAAAGGGGTAAAACTGACCCGAAGACAGTGTGAAAAAAAGTGGAGCAATAGAGTGGAAACTAAGCTATTGTTGTAAAATAAGAATTTATTGTAAAAGAAATGTTAGTTTTTAAACATTAACCAATAGTTTTGTTTTCTCATCAGTGTTTTTGCACAATTTCTTTTTCTCTCACTAAAATTCATAAGTGTCAACGGTCAATTTTTATTATTTGTTATTGTGGGAATGATTTTTGACCAAGTTTATGCTCGATAAATAAAACATTTTCTGCGTTAAAAAAGCATACCAAATGAAGCTTTCTCTACTCCCATTAAAAGGAAACTTTATTCCTCAAGTTATCTTCTTAGTTTTCTTCCATTCTTTTCTTATCTTCTTTATATGTTGGGTTTATTACTCAAGCTAACTTTGTCATTAAATGATGTTTTCGTTGAATTGTATCTTGCGAGTATGATAATTATTGATTAAATGAGTCTAATAATAAAATAGGGTTTGTATTCATTTGGGTTGAAACATAACCTGGGATTATAATTGTTCACGGTTTGTTTGGAATATGTTGCATGGTTCCATTATTTTAAAACATGATCTGGGTTCATGAAATACAAAGCTCAATCATAAGTTTGGTTTGATAATAGAAATGGTTATAATAAGTTGAAAAACCGTGATCTCTTGTGAACCGAATTTCTGTTCATATGATGTTTAATTATGGATTGAGTTATCTGAATTATATTGTTTCACATCTCTGAATGCTTGAAATTAAATATTGGCTTAATTGCTTTCTTGGTCCCCAAATTCAGAGTTTTATGTTTCTTTAGTAACCGTTTCTAAAAATGTCTCTATTTGGTCCCAATGTGGTATAATTTTCACCAATCAAATCCCTTCTGCTAAATTGGCATAAACGGAGTTAACTTCGTGATAACGTGACTATGAAATCTAATCTTTTTCTTCTCTCTCCTTTGCTCTTCCTGCAACATTTAACTTTTTCAAAAACATTTAACATGTAGATACATTTAAGTAGATACATTATATTGCAGGAAGAGCAGAGGATAGAGAAGAAAAAGATCAGATTTCATAGTCACATCACCACGAAGTTAACTTAATTGATGCAAATTATAATACATTGGGACCAAATAGAGACATTTTTAAAAGCACGTACTAAAAAGATACAAAACTCTGAATGTGGAGACCAACAAAGTAATTAAGCCTTAAATATTTTTCTCGTTCATTACATTATTTGGTATTAAATTGATGTATATGAGTGATTTGATGGACAAGAAACTATTATGAAAATAGGTTAATGGTTTTACCCGTTGTTTGATTATTATGAGCTAAGGTTGAATTCAATTTAGGTGTAATCGTTCTAGCCTTAATAATGATTTACTTTGGATTGTGGGATAGTTAAATGTTGTTGAGTGGAAAAGATAATTGTATATTTATGTGCTTATGGTTTATTGAAACATGTATTGAGTCTTGGAAGGAAGGTATGCTGATTGATATGCACCTTTTACTTTATTTCTCATAAAACAGTTTTAATAAGATGTATCAATGTTCAATGTGGGGGAAAATATGTACATGTGCAAGGAATGTTGGGGTTGATTATGATTTGGTTTAACCTGGAGCAAGTTGTTGGGAGATATTGTTATGTGTTATTTAGGCATCATTGTTATTAAAACTATTACATATTCTGAAAATCCATTGCGAAAGTATTGATGCTGAGATGATGTGTGTAATGGTGTTTTGAGATATACATTACTTGAACTATATATATGTGATAATGAAACATCTGGACTCTTTGGAGAAGAGTGTTCACTTGTTGTTATACTTGGTATTAATATGATATTTATGAAAATGGTGATTGTGTCATTATATGTTTGTATCTGGATTACATGTTATTTTTTGGTACATGTAATGAAATTGTCGTTAGAACTAAATTGTTTCTAGGATCGAACTTTGAAATGAAATACATGGGTGAAACCAATGTAATTTTAGGTGTTAGAATCATAAGAAAAGGAGATAATATATTATTATCCCAATAATAATACATTGAGAAACTTTTTAAGTAGTTTGGGTATTATGATTTCAAACCCGTGATTACCCCTTTTGATGCTAACTCTAAATTAATAAAAAATAGAGGAGAATCTATATCTCGGCCTAAATATGCCTAGATGATTGGTAGCTTACTACACTTGATGTGCTTTTCTAGATCTGATATTTCTTATGTAGTAGGTAGACTAAGTAGGTACACTTAATGTCCAAATCAATAATATTGGGATGCACTTTGCAGGCTTATGAGATACTTAAGAGGTTCAATAGATTATGTCATTGAATATAGTGGATTTCCCGTTGTACTAGAAGGGTACAATGATGCTAACTGGATCTCTGATTCAGATGAGACAAAATTCACTAGTGGTTATGTATTCATACTTGATGGTGGTACAATAAAATGGAGATCAGCTAGGCAAACAATTATTGCAAGATCAAAATTGAAATATGAGTTTGTCGCTCTTGAGATGGTTGGTAGTGAGGCTAAGTGGTTGAAAAACTTCTTAGCAAACATTCCATTAGGAATGAAACCAACCACATCGGTGTCAATACACTATGATTTCCAATTGTTAATAGTTATAGCTAAAGAGTGGAACTATTTCCATTAATTATGTGAAGTCATAACGAACCTAGCAACTCCTCTAACAAAACCCCTAGGAAGACAAATGATATTACAAACATCGAGGGGAATGAAACTTAAGCCACTTGCAAACAAACAAGTTATGGTCACCCAACCTTTGTGATTGGAGATCCCATGAATAAGGCTCATATGGGTAAAAACAAGTCATTTGTTAGTTCTGATAACACTAAATTTATTTTAATCAATTATGTCAATTCTTATGATGTGTATGAAAGTGCTTGAGACTGCATTATGATAAGTTAAATTTTGTTATTAAAATTCTATGTGGTGAAAGAATTTTAGCTTTAATTGTTTTCTTTATGATTTTCATATCCTTATGGGTGGTGTATGATTTACAACATACTTTTGATGAAATCACATATATAAGTGTCGAGTAAGGACGTTTGCATGAGATCTTGGCATGATCTCTAGAGCACTCATGAATATCGGGCACACACATGGCTAATAAACGCAACATAAAGATAACAACAAGGATTGTGGGGGTGTATTATGATTGATAAACCTCTAACACACGTCAAGTGTTTTTGCTTCATATAATTTGCTATACCAACTATACTCTATGTTAGGTTTCTTGATCTAAGACTGATTCATATAGCTTGATATACCAACTCTAATGCATTACAACCTATGAAACCCAAGATAAAAGTTTCTTATCTTTCTTTTGCAATATGTGGAGAATTGTTGTAAAATAAGAACTTATTGCAAAAGAAATGTTAGTTTTTAAACGTTGACCAACAATTTATTTTCTTATTAACGTTCATAAGTGCTCAATTTTTTTTCTCTTACTAAAATTCATAAGTGTCACGTTCAATTTTTATTATTCATTATTGTAGCAACGATTTTTTATCAAGTTTGTGCTCTATAAATAGAGCATTTTCTCCATTCCAAAAAACACACCAAATCAAGCTTTTTCTTCTCCTTTCAAAAGTAAACTTTATTTCTCAAGCTATCTTCTTAGTTTTCTTCCTTTCTTTTCTTATCCTTTTTATATCATAGGTTTATTCTTTTATTCTCTTTAAAGTTCCTTGCTAGTTCCGAGATCCTCAGAAATTTATGAGAAGTTTCTGTTGTATCCTTGGACACTTGCACAATATATCGTGAGTAAGTCCTTAAGGACGGTTATCTACAAGCCTCAAGAAATAGGGTTTGTGATTTTGTCAACTTTTCTACGACAATGACTACGTGCAAAGAGATGATATCAAATTTAAAACTTATAAGACAAGATAACTAGTTAAAACAAAACAAGTGAAAAAGTTTGGCAAGGAAGTATCCAAAATGGATTTCACAAACTTTTTCGGTCTTTATGCCTCTAACACTTCAACTTTAAGTTGGGGTTGTGTTCCGTTTTGATTGTTTGAGATCTGACCCGATACTTGAAAGTGAATAGAATGCTCACAAGTCGATCCAAGACCTATAAACCTATCAATTAGGCAAGTTTTGATTTAATTAAGGAATCTTATAATATAGGAAATATTTAAAAAAAATAAAATAATTTATATTTTATTATTTTTATTTTATAATTGAAATATTATTTTCTTATTTGAAAAATACATTATTTGTATTTATAACTAGAAAGATATACGTGAGTTTAAGGTACATGGATTTTTTTTTTACTTAAAGCATGTTAAGTTTGAGTTAAATTATTTCATCTTTATATTTGTTCTTCGATTTAGGAGATTATTTTTTTTACTAAAACGATTGTACCATTCTATTTTACTAATATAAAACTACTAAAATAAATGTTACAAATATGATAATTGATGATGAACTTGAGATTTCTAAATTGAAGACTTATACTTTGAGAATTAAAACATAACTATGTCACTGTTTCGTCTGCATCCTACATTTGATAAACTACAAGACATCCTTATCTGTGCTCACCATTAAGTTGATCATTGCAAACAAAAAGATGATAAACAAACAAACAAACAAACACATAATCAAAGATAAGCTAATATTGTAAAAGAATCAAATCATGTAATTATAATTCAGCATTCAACACATTTCACTTTAAAATCAAATAAGAACCATAGCATATATACATATTCTAGACTTGAAAAGTCCGGATATAGGTATTGATGTCGACCTATGGCGAGTCATGCATTTACGGTGACCTCTATTGCTGTGCATAGCCATTGCCAATTGTTTTTACCCTATCACACAAACAAGATTAGTTCATTCCGCGTCTTAGATCATGATAGAGCACCTAGACTAGACTTTATGCTACTCCTCACTGAGCTTCCTACATCAATGCCTACACTAAAAGGAACCATGAGTGCTGATTGCTATGGTTTTACACAGAGAAGCCCAAGCTTTGATGAAAAGAGTTAAAGATTTTCCGTCAAGGACGGCGTGGTGAGTGGTGATTCCTATGGCGAACCCTCTGTTAGGGAACAGAGTGATTTGGAGAGCCATAACAGAGGCATGAGAATCAGAGGATTCCAAGTGGGGCACCAAGAAACGTGACTCTGATGCTTCTTTGGGTGCGTTGTCCAACGCGTGGTCGAAATCGGCTTCGGATTCTGCAAGCACCACTGAAACAGCGTCGCCTGGGGTGTACTGAACGACGGGGTTGGAAGAAGCATTGGGCCACAGGACGTTGCCGGCGAGAGGGGGAAAGTGTTGGAGGGTGTGAGAGAGTGAAGTTTTGAGCTTTGGAACAACTTGGGTGAAGAAAATGGATGGGTTTGAATGGGTTACGGGGAGGGAATAGAAGAAGATGCGTTCTACAGGATGAAACCTGAGCCAGAACAGGTCGAAGAATACGAGAGGGAGGGATGTTTGGGGTGCAGAGGGAGGAGCAACAGTGCACTGTTCATGGATTTTGAGGTTGTGGAAAGCCATGTAAAGAAAGTTCAGAGTGTGTTTCTTTCAATATTGAATAAATCAAAGATGAAGCTTAAGTTTTAGAGCGATCGAGGAAGCATGGTGAGGTGAAAATGTGTATTATTACTAAGCTGACGTGACCTCGAGTGATTATGCAGTAAATATTATGAAAATTGGTTTTACCAAATTATTAGCTTAAAAATTCAACTCAAAATTGCGAGATATGTACTGTCCAAAATTTGACTTATACTCGAAGATGGATAAAACGTCAAATATTTATCCAAAACTTATAGATCTAGAAATTAGGCCGAAGTCTTATAATAAATTTTGATTTAATTAAATTATATTGTAATCTAAGAAATATTTTAACAAAAGATAAGAAAGTTTATATTTTTCTTTTTTTATTTTGTAATTAAAAAAATATTTTTTTATTTAAAAGATACATTTAACTACTTTATTTATAAATAAAAAGACATATACAAGTCTACGACACTTGAATTTTATGGGCTTGAAACATTCTTATAAATTTTGAATTAAATTATTCAATCTTTATATTTATTATCGACATTTATTTTCTTACTGGAACGGTTTGATATTAATTTTTTTTTACAGAAACGGTTTTATATTAAAAATGATTTGTAGTATGTGCTTGTCACTTTTCTTAATTAGAAATGTATTGATATGATATAAATTTTATATTAATATGTGAAAATATGCAATTTATCTTGCACATAAGTACTGAAATTCAATTATTAAGGTGCTATCTAATTTTATTTATATATTTTTATAACCTTCATGTACATTTTGGTAAACGTTCCAGAATTTGGAAAGAAAATTATGAGTATGGTAAGAAAATTATATGTACGCGCGTGGGTGTTTCTATAATTATTATAGTATTTAAAGAATAAGTTTAATTTTATATTAGACTTAATTTTGAAAGGTTATATTAATGATATAGCATAAGTCTTAAACAAAGATATGTTATAGAGAGAGGAACGGGAGAAAGAGAGAGAAAAAAAAACTACTAAAATTTAACTAACATGTGATACAATTTCTTATTCGAAAGATGAAGCACCATAATTAGGTTAATAAATATGATATAAGGATATTTTAAAACGAACTTAACATTAAGTGGAGGAATAACTTACAAGTATCAACTTTTAAAAAATGGAAGAGATTGTTCTTAATAGAAGAATTGTATATGCACACTTGTTCAACCTTTCTACATCTAACACTTGTTATTGACTTTTTGAAAGATATTATAACGTGTATGAAAATGGAATAAGAATGAAAAATTTCACATCATAATGAAAACTCCTTACAATTTTTTACCACTGTATACTGTAAAAGTATACTACAATAGTTATTTTGATAATAAATAATAGTTTTTGAATACAAACTGTTACTATGGATTCGCATGCTATCGGTATCAGTTTACCAGTTTCTTAGTTGATCGGTCTCGACAAGCTTCTCAGCCGTTCGGGGTCCTGACAACTATTGAGCAGATTTAATGCACAAATAAATGTGGCAATGGCTACCGTTAGACAATTAAGGTTTGCATTAATAGCCATTAAGAGGTAAATTAATTGGTCAGATTCCTTTGAACTCTATAAATAAGAGTTTAGGCTTTAGGTAAGGGGATGAAACTCAAACTCCACTACGCCCTAACTTGAGCGTCGTAGTGTCTTTTGCAGGTACCTCTTTCTTTTGCCAAGAGGGTGACCGAGCGGTCAAGACTGAAGTTCACCGAGCGACCAGTGCTGAAGGTGACTGATCGATCCAAACTGGAAGCAGACGGGCGGAACGCACAAGTCAAAGGTTAGTGTCTCGGTCTCACAAAATCCCTATTGAAACATTTTGGCGTCCACCGTGGGGATGAGAGCAAGCTGAAGACACCCAATGGTGACCACAAGAAATATGGAAGAGCAGAGCACTAGCGATTTAATCAGAGAGTTACAAGCCCAAATTGAGGCACAAGCGCAGACCATACAAGCACAGGCACATGCACATCAAGAGATACAGCAGAGGCATGCAGAGGAGATGGGGGCACTAAGGGCCGAACGGGTCCCTCCCGAGCGGTCTGTCTCAAATCGAGAGAATGCTAATAAAGCAAGCCATAATCACGCCAACCCGAACGGTCGGGCTAGAAGGGAACCAACACCCCTGCAGACCGTTCGGCCTACCAATTTATTTCCCTTTACGGCGACCATCATGCAAACCCCAATGCCGGAAAAAACTCCTCCCATATTGGATAAGTATGATGGTTCAGCTGATCCGGATAATCACCTAAGGACGTTCGGTAATGCAATGGCATTCTATACAAACAGCGACCCGGACATGTGCAGAGCCTTCTCATTATCACTTAAGAGGCATTGGAATAATATAACACTCTTTCTCCCAACACAGTGGATTGCTTCGCTACTGTGGAAAACCTCTTTAGAAGACAATATGCATCCAATCGGAAATAGGAGATAACACCAGCGGAATTGGTAAATACTAAGCAGGAGAAAGGAGAAACTTTGAAGGCTTTTATGAAAAGGTATATTGAAACCGCGCAGGGAGTTTAAGAGATCGATCAATCTTTTATCATCAACAATTTGCCTTCATGTATGAGACAAGGATATTTTGCGGAAAAATTGTATGCACGACCACCAAAAACTATGGAAAAGCTCCAAGAAAGAGCAGTTGAGTTCATCCGTATGTAGGAAATGCGATTGTCGCAAAGGAAGCGACAACAAGGGGCTGATGTAGGCAGAAGTAGAAAGGACGGCAAGCAACCGTTCGACGGTAACGATAAAAGTGGGGAGCTTCCCCGAACATTCAAGTTTCACCATTATACAACCCTCAATGCACCTAGGGCAAAAGTTCTCGAAGAAGCCATCAACGCAGAACTTCTCACACCTCGAAGGAAACCATCTCCAAGAAACGCAGATGAAAGGAAGAGTTACCGGTACCATCAAAATCATGGACATACTTCAGAAGACTGCATAACATTAAAAACTGAAATAGAAAGTCTTATTCGGGCAGGACATCTCCGTAGGTATATAAAGGAAGCAAGAAACAACCTCCCCAGGGAAGGATATTCGCGAAGAAGCCCCGAACGGGCGAGTAGGAAGGACGAGCGGGGGCGGGGCTATAGTCGCAGTCCCAGTCGTCATCGGGAACGATCGGTTCGTGGATTTATCAATTGAGGAGAAACATCCAAAACTTTATTAATGTCATGTTTAAATTCAGTTTCATTTCATTTAGACTTTTGTTATTGTCTTACGCTTTCATTGTGGAATAAATAAGGCCAAGCAATCGATGCCCAGTCAATCGTTCCCCATGTTGCTAAAGAAGTTCATATTCAACGAAAAAGTCTCTCAAGAAGAGTCTGAAACTAAAGACCGAGCGGTAAATCCCGCTAGGCAGAGAGGTAAACTCCTCAAATTGAAGTTAAAGACCAAGAGGTAAAGCCCTCTTGGCCGAGAGGTAAAGCCCTCTCGTCCAGATTGAAGAAAAAGACCGAGTGGAAAATCCCGCTCGGTCAAGAGGTAAACTCCTCTCGTTGATGTTAAAGACCAAGAGGCAAAACCCTCTTGGCCGAGAGGTAAAGCCCTCTCATCCAAATTGAAGAAAAGACTGAGCGGTAAATCCCGCTCGGCCGAGAGGTAAACTCCTCTC